TACTGCCCATTCGAAGCCCATTTTGATCTTGTGGGTTTGATTGTAATAATAGTCATAGTAGCTAGCTCGCACAAGGTCTTTAAGAGCTTCGTCTTCCTCCAACATCAAGTTCGACACTCCTTCATCCCGTGTTTGAGTGACCAGAAAAACTGACGTCCACCTTGGTTTTGCGGATCTTTCGAGTACCCATCTCTTACGAATGTTTTTCCTTCTTTCGAAATTACCTGGATCGGATGAGATAACCAACAGAAGATCGTAATGTTGCGTACAAGATCTCCTGGTTATAAGAAATTTTTGGGCTTAATTTGCGGGGTAGAAGCCTTTGTGAAGCTTGATGAAGATTCCGTGTTCGAGTTTAGTTGATTTGTTTTCAGTTCTTTCAGTTATATCCACTGCATATATTCAGAGCGACTTCTACTTCTTCGTGAACGATGTCAGAAAAGGAGGAACGAGTAATCTATTCAAGTTTTAGCTGAAAAGATACACAAACGGCCACTAAAAAGGCTAAAGCCTTCAAAATATTTTTCCCCCGTTTTCTGATCATTATTTTCCAAACGCCATATCAGCGTGGAAGACACAAAAGCGGGAGCTTTGCAGCACACCAAGCAGAGGCACCAGGCAACGCTTAACCAGGATGCATTGCGGGATTAGAGGCCCTTCTCGGTCCTTTCTGTATTTCACAAAATGAAACCTTACCGTAAGTGAAATAGTGTTCGACAAAATCTTTGCAATCTTGATTGAGAACTGACTTTTTATACCCTCATCTGGTTTCTGTAAGTGTCTATCGTCCAGGTACAACGTATTTTTTTCGTTTCATTACGCTTTCGCAATAATAAAGCCGTCGGAAAAAAGATGTTCTTAGACGATGAGAAGCCGCCATCACATGGCTAACCACAGGCGTCCCAAGCTCACGTCACTTTGAAAAGCGAAGGATTATTTCAGGAAAGCGTCACCCTTTGTGTGGCGCGGTGTTAAGTTACGCGAGTAACCGTTGAGAATTTGAATGCTTTATAAAGAATAGTATGGGGAACAAAATATGGTCCATTTAAAACACTAAATATTCCGAAATACGAACATTTTACACGTTAGATTAATAAAACTTACTAATTCCTTGTGTGTCTGTTGCGTTGTTTGGCGATTTCCGTCGTTTTGGGCTTGCTTTGCCATCACTGTTTTTCCTGCTCAGACGAATAACAGTGGGAGAGTACAAAACCTGGATCCCGGGTCCATGGACCAGTTCCTTGGACCAGGTCCATGGACCCGGTCCATAGACCCTTTTCGTGGACCCCATATAAAAATATGATATTTTTTTGTTCGCAAGTTTATTTTAGATACAATGAATACATGAAGTTCATATATTTGAACTGCGGTATTAGGTACGTATGATGCACGATCCTCGTAATAGAGAGCACTATTTATGCAATAGCGAAATTCAGACCTAAAAAAAATCAGGCCTGAACGGGATTCGAACCACTGACCTCTGCGATACTAGTGCAGCGCTCTACCAATTGAGCTAACAAGCCAACTGGGAGCAGGCCGTTAAGTTGATTCGTAAAGGAACCAAAGAATTAGGGGCGGCCGGGGTGAGGAGCCTATTTAACCGGCCTTTTCATGTCTTTGTATAGACAAGCGTGGTACACCAAAAAAAGGGTTTACTTATAAAACTCTTTGTCGTTGTCGTATGAAAAAAAATAAAATGTATAGTAAATTTGAAAATGAAAAGAATAGGGTTTAGTGATAAAAGGTTAGATCGAATAAAGGTATGAGCTGAAACTAACATGGTTCACTTGACAATTTTATGTTGAGCTTATAAGTGGAAAACACTAAAAATTGTGCATTGCTAGTTTTATTGACACCATACGTAAATGACATTGGTTACTGTTGCGAAAAATCATATTTTAGATTAAGCTTTGTATAAAGCAATGATTTTGCATACATTTTTGGGAAGAGCAAGAATGACTTAAAACAAACATTCTAATTAAGTACAGTGTTCTTTCCGTGCAAAGGGGCATAAATAAAAGGTTCTGGTAAAAAAGCCCCATTACTTTATACCACAGAAGACAAGCAAAAAGTAATATGGGTACCTCGATTAAAAATACATCGAAAATTCTATTAATTAATACCAGTTCTAATTTAAAGGAAAAAGTTATGAGAATAAAGTAAAAGTACCACGAAGCATGCCTTCACTGTTTAGACTGAGAGTCCTAAAGTTTTTTGAGCATGTCTTCGAATAACTTATGACGATAAGCCTCCACCCACCCCACCCCGCGCCGTTTTGTTTTTACTTAGCGGCTGGTCAGCGGTCCGTTTATAAGGTAAACATGGCGATCGCTTCCTGAACACCGTTCTTGTCGATCAGAAAATCAAAATACCAGCAAGGTATTGCCTCGAAGATGAAGCAGNAGCAGTTGTGTTATTTGATTCGTACTTCACATTCGAGTCGAAGCTTGGGTGGCACAGGTTATTTCTTATGGTGGACTGACGAGGGGAATTTGAACACTAGTTGTAGTGTTTGAATTGTTGGAAGAAATGGTTGCATGGGGATGTAGGAATGGTAAGTTTAACGAATAATTTTAAATTTTGCTGCTTGAATTGAAAGTAAAGTTCATTTGAATTGCTTCTGTATGTATTTCTGAAGGTTTTAGATCTACCTGCTCGATATATGTCTGCAACGCTTCATGTTGACAAGTCCCTCAAAATGTCGGCCAAAGCTGGATATTGCCCAAAATCAGTTAAGTTCGCGGAGTTATAAAGTTTTCGCAAAGGTCGGGCCGCAAAGTTTTTTTCTGCAGTTACCTTTTCTATGGCATCTACTTCCTAGCTATGTTATTTGGATAAGTTAAAAACGCCCCACCTTTTCAAAAATTTACCTTGAATTTGATCGGTTTTCCTATCTGTGACTAAGGCGAACCGATAAGGTGTCATTCAAGTCTTCTTGTTTGCTTGATTGAGATGTGATGTTCACGAAAGTGAAAATCACATCTCAATCAAGTATAGGCACATGAATGTCTTACAACACACAAGAAATGAGAGAAATTTGTGTCTCAAGCAAAATCGACCGGACCGCTTTTACGGAGACACTCTCTTAATATGCACCTATCCCTTTTTTCGTCGGAAATAAGTTCTTTAATAGAGGGTTTTTACGTTACGTCACGTATCCCGTAGCAACGACGGTGGCTGCCATTTTAAAGGTCGACTGTTCGACTGAAACAATGCGAACTTATCAATGTCTTCTAAAAAATCTTACTTTTCTACCCTTGATCCGCCGTGTAAAGCGAGATATTTACAAAAAATATCTTTGATAAACAATGTAGATCCATTTGAGATCTCAAGCAAAGAAACTCTCATACATGTGATAATCCTTTTGTGTTTTCACGTGAAGACGAGGTTAGTAAGTCCAGAACAATGGTAATTCAAATTGGACACCATATTTCCATTTGGTGTATTGTGTTTGCTTTCTTGGTTTTTCCAAAACTTTGACTTTTCGTAGGCACGTCCTACACGTAGGTCTCAATGGGTTAATTGTCAGTGTTTTCGCTTGTGACGCAAATTGCGTCATGCCTCACGCGTAAATGCGCGGCAACACGCGTGTAGACCTGCCATTAGTTGAAAGCTTTCGGTAGTGAGAGGCATTATCATATGACCCGTCTGGCCCCACTCGTGCAATCCTTAGAAAACCATAGTAAAAGCTGACTTGTGCAGGCTAAATTACTACATACTCTATGACTGTAGTGCCACTGTTGTATAGTTGTAGAGTACTGCTCTAAAAAAAGCAATGCAGTATTAAATGCAGAAGGGTAGATGAACAGCTCCTGTCGATGCCAAAATTTTGACGAAAGGGCTTGGTTAGAACAGAATTTGTACACTGGTCAATTGTCAGACCAGTGACAGGGCAGGAAATCAATAAAAGAGGTACATGCGTTAAATGAGCATCAAATATATTTTAAAGCAAATTTCGCCGGTTCGTACGCTCTCCGTACCTGGTGCAAATTAAGAATGAACCCCGGCCACGTCAAACTATTTTTGTCTTACTCCTTTTGTTTTCTTTACTCTCAATTTTCCTTTTTTTTTTTCCTTTCAATTTACATTCTTCTTCAAAGGATATGTTAGCTATGCTCAGAGTAAAACGCACCTATGAGAATGCAGAGGCGAAATCCTGAGCAAACATCGAACTAAACCCGACAAAAGTGGGAGGTCAACGGACTTACACGACACCATACGATTACTCTTAGTTTCATTTTGAATGGGTCCGCTGTAAGTGACCGTTCCAGACAGGTGGAGGACGATACAAACAGGCCGTTGGGACCGCTGGGACTCAAGTGAATAAGTGTGACCGTAACCGATTTAAATTACAGTAATTAGGGGAGGGAATTTGAAAAACGACTTGGAAAAAACGATCGCTTAGCTTGACAGGGTTACCGCTTGATACGGTACTGCTTAATACAGGTTCGCGTCGCTGTAACCTTTACAAATTTTCCGTAGATCCCTCATCGAAAGGAGTTTTATAGCAATATACAAAACAATCTGATTTTTCTGTGAGCAGTCCATCGATTCTCGATATTCCTAGAAGTACGAAGATTTGAATCAATCATTAAGCAGAGATATATTACATATTAGTCTTTCATTTCAATGTTTGCATAGGTATAAGTCACAGAGTCAAAAATTCTAATCCTAGGTATAAAAGGCATATTTTTTTTTTCGGGCACGAAAAATTACAAAGCTTGATTTTTTTATTTTCAGAGATAGCTTATTGGCCTTAAGCCAATCGTTGACGTTGCCAAGTTCGCGATTAACAAAAGATTCGAGTTCCTTTAAGTTGCTATTTGCAGATATTATACTGGTATCGTCAGCAAATAGATAAAAGTTAACTAACGAAGAGGACTTGTAAATATCATTGATGTATAGAACGAACAAGAGAGGTGCGAGGACTGAGTCTCACGTAGCTAACGGATATCGAGATCTGCTCCATTAGTTTTCTTACCGAAGTCAAGGATAACATGTGTGGTTAAAACGTTGGTTTATTCCGGATTTACATATAATGAATTTATTGCAGTTACCTTATAGATGTAAGCGTTTGTATTATGATTAAATTTAAAAAATTATCTCAGCTCTGCTCAATGTTCGGTTCAAGGTTCAACTACTTTCACACCTGTAACGCCATCTTTGAATTGTTCCCACCAGTGCATCAAGCCGACTTTGGTAATGTGGCAGTTTGCATACTGCTCTTCAATATCACTCGCTGACAGGACCCTGCTCCAAAGATTAACCTCTGTCACCTCACCCGGTCCAAAACCATCTCCGGTTTCGAAGCCCCCTCCAACTTTATCTTGATCTTGTCCAATAACGACTGTTCCGTTGGCTGGAACCTGGTAGTTTTCCTTTAAGCCTGTTCCATTGTTTCGGAGTTGTCCATCAAGATAAAGCTGCCAGGTGCCTTTTGTACTTTTCCAGGTAACACAGATGTGATGCCACATGGTGTCATCTATCTGAACTTCACTACCACTAAGAAAATGATCATAGACAAATGTGCGTTGAAAATTCTCATATCTTGCAAAGACTTAATTTTTCTGTACTAAGTGCATTTAACTCATGAGTTAATCGATTATAAGCTTAAGTTGTAAGACAGTTCATTCTGTGGCTGAAACACTACAAAGCAAAGCAAATTTCATTTACCCAGGATCCCTCTCCAAATATCATTATAATTGTGACTATCATAGCCATAGTTTTTGTCATTACTATCGTTGTTGTTTTTACCACTTATCATCATCATTGCGATTATCATTACTTTGCAGCGCGAAGAAAAGCTTTTCAAATTATTTTCCGTTGATGGTCGAGTCCTTCTATCAATTCAGCTAATTGAGAGGACATAATAACTATTATAATACAGTTCGGATAAAACACACGCTGTCATTGGTTTGGTGTGCTCTAACAGAGTACAGAACAGGGACCTGAGCCAAAACTGTCACGCCATCTGCCGTTTTGTACTATGTCTAGCTCTTTTTTCGTTCATTGAAAGTGAGTGTTCGGAATAAGCGAGCCGGAGAGTTACAACAGAAGAACCAAAGAAAGGTTTGAAAACATGCCAAGCGCCGTGATTTGCATCATTATAACGTGTGTCGAGGCGAAAATTCACTGAGAGTAAACGAAATGGATTGTCCGAGTTTTGAAGGTTTTGAACCGTAATAAAAATAAAAACCAGATAACACTCGTAGAGCATAAATAGTTTAGTGTGAAAAAAAAAAACAAAAACAAAAACCCCAACAACAGGAATGATGAAACTTGAAAATATACCTAAACAAAGCATGACGATGTCAGAGCGACTGCGATCATTTTCATATCCATCTTGGCTACCTTATTATCTGTTTTCATCGAAGTGAAGCAAGCCTCAGAAATTACTCAGTATTCAGCCACTTCCGTCACAGCAGCCGAAATTACGGCGCCGTCATCCCGAGCAATTTACTCGTTCCTGTGAATTCACTCATGATCAAGAAGTGGGGAGAAACATTCGACTACGTCTCGTGTTTCTCCCTACACTTCTCTCGTACTCTAGCCGCTTCCTGCGTGCTTTACAACAGAACAGGGCTCAGTCAAGGCTTCTCTACTTTTTACTAGAAGTGCTCAATATCCTTGAAAAATCATACTTTTTTTCTCAATTAGTCCTGCAAGCAAAGCATCCACTGTTTTCTTTATACACAATGCAAAATTACATTGATCCCTTTCTAATTTCTAAAAAAGAAATTACTGCAATTTTGTCACAAACACGTAATTTTTTAAGTACAGATTTTCTGAAGTAAGAAATTTGGAAAAAAATTAAACTTTACCATGGTCTACTTGCTAAGGTTATAGCAAAGAATCGCCAACATCACCGAGCGGCCGTCCATGAACTAAGACTCACGGCTCAATCAACAATTTCAGTGACTCAATCGGCCATCCAAATTTAAATATGTTTCAGTCAATTTCAAAACAATTTAATTGGTTTCTTTCAACTTGTTACTAAACAGTAAAAAAATGAGCATGTTTGCGTCTACTTTCCCAGTTATCAGTGGTGAACGATTCCCTAATATT